ACAATATAAAATGATATAGTCATTCTGGAGAAGTTTGACCATTTGATAAATATGAAACATGGGCATCTATTGCAGAGAAATGGAAAGTAAAACTTACACAAAAACCTGTCAGGAGTATTCACTGCAGCTTTACTCTTCATTACCAACCACTGGAAACAACCGAGATGTCCTTCAATGAGCAAATGGTTAAACAAACTGTGGTACACCCACACCATGGAATGCTACTCAGCAATAAAAAAGAAAAACTATTGATTTATGCAGCAACCTGGGTGCATCTCAAGGGGATTATGCTGGTTTCAAAAAGTCAATTCCAAAAGTATCATATGTAATATATGGATCTATTTGTATCCTATATAATAAAGAGCTAATATGCTAATTAGACCAAACAGCAGAACGACCGTCTGGACGACCTTCTGGATAACCACACTATGACATGCACTGGCGCCACGATAACTAGATCATCCCTTTGCAGGATGGTCAATCATGGGGTGATCGATTGCAGGGCTACCCAATCGATCGTCAAGCAGAGGGTGGCCTGGGCTTGCGTCTTTGGGGCAATCACAGAGTCCCCCTTCCCCCGCATTGATCACCCTGCCTGCCGGTGGCCTGGGCCTCCCTCTGTGGGGTGATCATGGGGCAATGGCGGCCCCCTGACCAATCACATCACACCCACCTTGGCTGACCTGGCGCCAGTGGATGTCATAGTGTGGTCATCCGGAAGGTCGTCTGGATGGTTGTTCTGCTGTTTGGTCGTTCGGTCGATTTTCGTATTATGCTTTGATTATTATAGATGAGTATGTGTATACATATATACATATATATGTGTACACGCACATATGTATATATATAAAAGAACACACATATATATATAAAAGAACTGTATAAACACACACACACACACACACACACATATAAAACCCCTGTCCCACATGACTGGGTACAAGAACTAACATTCATGTATGTTCAACAGCTACCTATTGAGCAGACTGTGTTCTCAGCACAGATCCTAGCCATAGGTCATATCTGGTCGTGAGCAAGACAGGCGGAGTCCCTGCTCTCATGGAGCTTACATTCTAGCCTGAACAGACAGGTGATAATAGGTAGGAAATTTAATAAATAATGTAATTTCAAATAGTGATAAGTGCTCTGGTGATAATGCAATCAGAGCTGGTGATAGCGATTGGGGAGAATTCTTTTGATTGGGGGTCGCAGGAAGACATGTCTATGGAGGTGACATTTGAAGTGATGTACAGCAGAGGATCAACCATAAATGCTGAGTGACTAAGTGGCTGGGTGGCTGGGTATCTGGGTGGCTGGGTATCTGGGTGGTTAGGTGACTTGGGTGGCTGGGTATCTGGGTGGCTGAGTATCTGAGTGGTTAGGTGACTGGGTGGCTGATAGCTAAGTGGCTGAGTAGCTGAGCAGTTAGGTATCTAGTTGCTTAGATGACTGGGTGGCTAAGTGGCTGGGTAGTTGGGTATCTGGGTGGTTGGGTGCCTGGTGGTTAGGTGGTTGGATGATTAGGTGCCTAGGGGGCTAGCAAATTGGATGATTAAATGGACATCAGCACCCACTCTAGAGCCTCTTTGTCAGAAAGTTCTTTCTACTATTTAACATAACTTTCTCATTTTGTTCTCTTGAAGTTCCCTATGTTAGGAAAACTGGTTAGTCTTATCTATGCCTCTTCTATCTCCAAGTGTGTTTCTGGGCCAAAAAAATGAATGGATGGGGACAAAACAGGATTCCAGGCAGTGAGTCAACCATAAAAGTTGAGTGACTAAGTGACTAGGTCTCCCAGAAACAGGTTTAGAGCAATATCAGACTAGGGTCCTCCCTCAGGAGTCTTAACTAATGCCTAGGAAGAGGAGAAACCCAGGATTCCACTGGTCTCAGGCTGAGGGTAATTCTAGGGTAACTCAAGTCCCAGTAGAGTGGCTCTGGGACTCCATCCTGTTTCCTCAGCAGTCGCCCTGGCCTCTGACTCCTTGCAGTGGCCTGGCCTCTGTCTCCTTGCAGTGGTCTGGCCTCTGTGTCCTCCCTGCAGTTGTCTAGCCTCTGTCTCCTTGCAGTGGCCTGGCCTCTGTCTCCTTGCAGTGGCCTGGCCTCTGTCTCCCTGCAGTGGCCTGGCCTCTGTCTCCCTTGCAGTGGCCTGGCCTCTGTCTCCCTGCAGTGGCCTGGCCTCTGTCCCCTCCCTGCAGTGGCCTGGCCTCTGTCTCCTCCTTGCAGTGGCCGGGCCTCT